TAGAACTCTTTTTTCTGGAATGGCCATCAGAGTTGTCATAGTCTTACCCTTGATATCCTGAATGTCATCACAATGTCTTCCTCTCAGTTTCCTTTATCTTCGGGTAAAGAAAAAAGTCACTGCAGGGCCAGATCCCGGTGAGTAGGGAGGGTGTTCCAACACAGTTCTTTGTTTACTGGCTAAAAGCTCCCCCAAAGACAGCGCTGTGTGAGCTGGTACATTGTTGTGATGCAAGAGCTCCTTTGGGACCATTTTTGTACACGCCTTTCTCATGCCAAGATTCTCAGTTCAGATTTTCTTGGTTGATGTCTCTTTTGATGTTTACTTGGTCTGCTATGCTTCTCACAGTCAGCCGATGATTTTGATACAAAATCCGATGAATTTTTACACTGTTTTTGTCAGTCTGCTCGTTCCTGGCCGTCGTGACCTCTCTTCATCAGTGGCACTTTCTCTCCTCTCAGAAAAATGTTTAATCCACTTGTACACTGCTGTTTTCTTTGTGGCATGATCCCCATAAACTTGGACTAATATGTCCCTGATTTAACTTTTCACTCTTGCCAAGCTTAATTTTCTGGCCATTGCAGAAAATGAGTTCCAAAATTGCTCTGGCGGGTGGTCTAGGCACTAGTGTCAATGCATAGCTTCCCGAAGGGAGTACTTCAGAAGTGACCATAGTGATACTTAGCAGTGAGGTATGTAGCACTTCTTTTAGGCTGAGTCCATGAACTTAATTGTCAGATTTCCTAAGAGAGTGAACTTAATTGTTTTGTGTTTTCTGACTGCCACTGACCTACTGTTCTCCCCATTTTTCTCCTTCTTTTTGGGCGGGGGAGAATCTTCCTATTCCCTGAGATACAACAATATTGGAATTAGGCCAGTCAACCTTACAGTGGTTTGTAAGTGCTCAAGTGAAAGAGAGAGTTGCCTGTGTCTCACTTTAAATCAAAAGCCCAGCTAGCCTGAAAGCTAAGTCTCTTGTGCCAAACAAGTTAGTCAAGTTGTGAATGTAAAGGAAAAGTTTTTGAAGGAAATGAAAGTGCTACTCCAGTGAACACACAGTTGATAAGAAAGGGAAACAGCCTTTTTGCTGATATGAAGACAGTGTTAGTAGTCTGGATAGAAGATCCAACCAACTACAATATTCCCTTAAATTGAAGCCTAATCTAGAGTAACACCGTAACACCCTTCAATCCTATAAAGGCTGAAAAAGGTGAGGAAGCTGCAGAAAAGTATTACAGGTTGGTTCACAAGACATGGGGGAAGAAGCCATCTCCATAACATAAAAGTTCAAGGTGAAGCAGCCAGTGCTGATGGAGAAGCTGCAGCAAGTTATCCGGAAGGTCTACCTGTGGTCATTGGTGATGACGGCTACACTGAACAACAGATTTTCAATGTAGAAGAAACAGCCTTACAGTAGAAGAAGATGCCATCTAGGACTTTCATAGCCAAAGAGAAGTCCATGCCTGGCTTCAAAGCTTCAAAGGACAAGCTGACTCTCTTGCGAGGGGCTCATGCAGATGGGGACTTTAAGGTCAGTGCTCATTTACCATTCTGAAAATCCTAGAACCTGTAAGAGTGAGGCTGAATCTACTCTGCCTGTGCTCTAGAGATGAAACAACAAAGGCTGGATGACAGCACGTCTGTTTACAGCATCATTTACTGAATATTTTAAGCCCACTGTTGAGATCTGCGCAGAAAAAAGAGATTCCTTTTCAAACATTACTGCCATGGACCCAACCACCCGAGAACTAACTCTAATGGGGATGTTCAAGGAGATTAATGTTCTCAAGGGTCCCATGTAGAGGAGATGCCCAATGACTATTTCCCAAATCAATGGATGAGGCCTATCCTGAATGAGGAGACCATGCTGTTCTGAAAGAGGAACTGACCAAGGAGTCAGAAAATGAGTGTTCTGGTCCCCGTGCTGCCATGAACTTGCTGAGACATGGAGCAAGTTGCTGTGCCTCTTGGAGCCTGTTTCCTGGCCTGTGAGAACCACGCCCGCGTGCAAAGATTGTAAAGGGATACAAGAGGATATGAACGGATACCCAGGAGCAAGTAAGCAGTCAATAAAATCGTCTTTCATTTTTCTCGGTGCCTTGCCACCTCACCCGTGAAATGGTGGCAATTGGTTAAAATCGTTTTTGGAGTTTATTCCAGCTCAGCATTACAGTTGTCCTTGAATAACACAGGCCAGGGGCACCAAACCCTGCACAGTCAGAACCCCTGTGTCACTTTTGACTGCCTCCAAACTTTACTAATAGCCTGCTGTTGCCCAGAAGCCTTATCGATAACAAAAACTGTTACTTAACATGTATGTTGTGAGTTAGACACATTATATGCTGTGTTCTGGCAATAAAGTAAGTTAGAGAAGAGAATATTTTACTAAGAAAAGTGTGGGGGAGAGGAAATATCTTTCCTGTTCCTTAAGTGGAAGTCAGTCGTCATGAAGGTCTTCATCCTTGTCTTCACACTTCATAAGCTGAGGAGGAGGACCGGGAGGAGGAGGGGCTGGTGTTGCTGTCTCAGGGGTGGCAGAGGCAGAAGAAAATCTTTGTGTAAGCGGATCCTTGGCCGAATGGGGTGGCTCATCCTGTGGGAAGACAAGGTGGGAGGATTGCTGGAGTCCAAGAGTTCAAGGCCAGCCTAGGCAACACAGTGAACCCTCATCTCTATAGACAATAAAAAAGTTAGTCAGGCATGGCGGGCGGCATGAGTTTTAGCCCCAGCTACTTAGGGGGACAGAGGCTCTGAAGGATCTTCTGCGCCCAGGAGGTTGAGGTTACCGTGAGCTGTGGGTATGCTCCTGCACTCCAGCCTGGGCATACATCCGTAGGAGTATGCTCCTACACTCCACCCCAGCCCCCCACAAGGGAAAAAAGTGAACCCTCGGAGTTCAAACCCGTGTTGTTCAAGAGTCAGCTGTACTGTGATTTCTTCCGAGCTGCAGTTTCCCTTTCTCGGCTCCTGTTTCTCCCGTCACCTCTAGCTCCATCCCTGGCCACTTTCTTTCCGTTGTTCTCAAGCCCAGGAGACAGCGCCTCTCCCTGGGAAAGATGGAGACGTTCCTCATAAATCCAGGCTGTGATGGCTCATCTCCTGCCTACCCTCCTCCACCAATCCCCTACTCACTATCGTACATTCACTCGTCCATATTTAGAGGACTTTTTTGAGCCTCCATTTGTGTGTGTGGATGGACTGTCCCCCCTCATCTGCTCCTTTCCGTCTGCCTTCTCCCACGTTCTGTTGAGGGGAAGAGGTCATGTGTGGTCAGCGAAGCAACAGAAAGACGTCGGCATATTTTGGAAGGCAGCCCCCTTAGTTAATGGAGATGGGTTCTGAAAATCCTTGCGAATAGACAAATGGTGGATGTTTGCTTTTTATTTGAAATTACTGAATGCTGTTGTCTATGACAGGTCTTTTTTTTTTTTTTAGAAAGTAGTATTTATTGAGACGACAGAAAAGCTCTCACAGTGGGAGGGGACCCGCGGGGGTTGTTGGACAGGTCTGTTCAATATTCTTGATTTATCCTGTGCACTTTCAATAACCCTAATTGCTACCAGGCAAAAACTTCGAACAGGTGTTTAGTTCACCTTTAATGTTAACCCTAAATAGCTGCTGTTGTCTCTTAATAAGAAAGTCAAGGCTGGGCTCAGTGGCTCAGCCTGTAATCCCGTGCTTTGGGAGGCCGAGGTGAGTGAATTGCCTGAGCCCACAGGTTCAAGACCCGCTTGGGCATCTTGGCGAGATCTCATCTATACAGTAAATCAAAAAATTAGCCAGGTGTGGTAGTACACGCCTGTAGTTCCAGCTGCTTGGAAGGCTGAGGCGGAAGGCTCACCGGAGCCCAGCAGGTCAAGGCTGCGGTGGCCAGGAGCGGCTACTGCACTCCAGTCTGGGCGACAGAGTGAGACTCCAACTCAAAAAAAAAAAGAAAGTCAAGTCTTGGAGCGAGATGCATTTAAACCCATTTTGGGGCATCAAGAATATCCAAGTCTTGTGGTTTTAATAAATATTTAGCAACTGGATGGGTGTGGAGGTGGGGGAAGCTCTGATATAAAGCACTAGTTGGTTTCTGTGCTGCAAATATCCCCACTGTGGGGGATTTTAAGCCATCAACTAAAATTCGCTGAATGGAGCAGGCAGAGATGCTGGCAGTTGGCTCATGAGAGCAGGCTGGAGACAGCTCCAACTCCCCACCAGCCTGATCCCCGAGTCCTTAATCTTCATCCCATCCCCTGACTTGCCAGTTACCATTTCTGGTCTCAGTTAATGACCCCTCTTGGTCAGCCAAGAAAGCGCCCTGACAGTCCTGTCCACTCCTCCCCCTCCCCCTCACTGAGCCCTGTTAATTCCATCTCTCAAACATGTCCTGAGTCTGTCCTCTTGTCTGTCCCTACCACCAACAGTGGCCTGTCCACTGCGCTTGTTGCTACAGCTATGACTTATTCCTGTTTCTCTGCCTCCATGCTTGCTCCTGACAGTCATTCCCCACACCAAAGACAGTCAGCCTGCAGACGCTTAAATTACATCAGGTCAGTCTATGGTTCAAACCTTTCTGTGGCTCCCTCTTACCACTGGGATGGGTCCAAACCCTGAGCGTACCTCACTGCACATGTGACCCGGCCCCTCTCTGCGTCACCCCCCCACCTGCCATCCCTCTGCATCTCGTCAGTAGGAACTACCTGCATTTCCTCAAGCAAGGCACACTCTTGCTTGATTCAGAGGCTTCCTTCTTGGTGCTGCTTCCTTTATCTGCATGACCATCTCTCCTCCCCTTCCCCACCCACTCACCCACCCAGCCCTCAGCTGGTTGCCTCCCCTTCGTCCTTCAGTGATTCGTGCCATCTGTGTCCCTTCCAGAATCACTTCCTGGGGGAGGGCCTTGACCAGGCAGCTCCCCTGCTCCCCTCCGGTATAGCATGCACAGTGTGTTCTCCCAGAATGGCCTCCCGGAGGGCCTGTGGCCATGCCCGTGTTCTTTGCTGCTGTTCTCCCAGCACGGCCGGTAGTCCCTCGCGCATCGTCAGTGCTCTGTGAGCGTGGAATCCACCTCTTGGATGTCTGCAGGCCCCGGTTCCCTATTTAAGGGTAAGCTCTTCCTGGCCAAGCATGTTCTGATTTCATGTACTTTCAGCAGCAGCTTACACCTGGTGAATAATTTCTGCCACAAAAGCCATTTTTTTCTAACTAATTTTTTCTCCTCTTAGGTTTCACCGGCTGTGATCTTCTGTCGGTATATGGGACTGTGAATGGCAATGTGACATTCTCTCCATCAAAACCGACTTCTGAGCCGTTCACTGAAATCCTGTGGACGAAGCAAAAGGACAAAGTCGTCGAATGGGAGCAAGCGGAGCAAAAAGATTTCCCGCCTTTTGAGAAGCGGGTGCGTTTGAACACGACGTCCGGCGAACTCACGGTCTTAAACTTACGGCCATCCGATGAAGACGAGTATAAAATCGAGTCGCTGCCACCTGTCCCAGGTGCCACCCGCTTCTTTCTTCATGTGCTGGGTGAGTCTACTACAAACAGTTGATTTGGTTTAAAAGGGCACATTTGTACCTATTTCCAGAGACTTGTACAAAGGAACGATTTATGAAAAATAAAAGAATTAGATGTCGGCCAGGTGCAGTGGCTCATGCCTATCGTCCCAGTACTTTGGGAGGCCAGGTGAGAGAATTGCCTGAGCCCACGGGTTCGAGACCCACCTGGGCAACTTGGCGAGACCTCATCTCTACAATAAATCAAGAGAAATTAACTGGGCACGATGGTGCATGCCTGTAGTTCCAGCTGCTTGGAAGGCTGAGGCGGAAGGATCAGGTCCAGGCTGCGGTGACCATAAGCGGGCCACTGCACTCCAGCCTGGGCAACAGAGTGGGAATCTGACTTAAAAAAAACAAGAATTAGATGTCACCTTTTGCTTTCCGGGAACCTGGCACCTGAACTGGAGGAGGTTCTCTCCTTGTTGCCTAGACTGGGACTGGGTGGAGAGGCTGCACACTCAGCCGAGAGATGGGACTCCTTAGAATGGAGCAGAGTGTGAAATCAGAATCCTGGCTTTGCCAAACCAGCAACTGTAACTGCCCTTCTGTTGTTTGATGACCTCTGTGCTTTGCTTCAAAAGGAAGAGAAATCGGATTAGGGAGATGGTGACCCTGAGAGTTCTTGCCCAACTCTCTGCTTAAATATCACCTCCTTAGAGATGTTGTCCCTGAACACACACTCTAAAGGTGTTCTCTTGTTTGGCCTTTTGTTCTATCATTTGCTGGTCTAATTAGGTATTTTTGACTGTTGTGTACCTCACTGTGTTCCCAGACCAAATGTCATGCCTGGCGCACACCTAGTGTTCAGTAAACACTGGGATCAATCAATAATAATAATAATAAAAGAATTAGACATCATATGTTATCAGGCTTTTCTTCCTGTTCTGGTATATGGGAGCTAGCCACTTTGAATTGCCTTGCCATTCTCTGGGCGAGGAGAGAATCTGGCTGAGGTGGTTAGCACAGCACCAGTTATCTTGCTAGGAATGTTCTAGAAAGGGGTGTTCTAGTAACAGCAGTTAACTCAGAGCTCTTTGAGCCCCACTCATAGATGGTGCTTTATAAGTTAGAGTTCCTGATTCCCACATGGGGGGCAGATTTTGAACTAGGTACATGTTTCTCCTTGCTTTTTATTGATGCTTCCAACTTGCTCTCCTCCCCTCGTCTCTAAAGCCCTTCCTCACTGCAGTTGCCTAAGGCCTCTGGGTCACACCCCGGTGTTTTTGTTTTTTGATCATGTTAGTGCCTGCCTCCTTGTCACCATTTCTGACATTCCTGCCATCATCATTCTTGGTGGCCACAATATTTAAGTAAAAGTCCTTTCTACCGTCTTCCCAGCCCTCGGCCTCCTCTCCTGATCTCGTCCTCTACGTTCCTTACTCCCCACGGATGTCGCGGAACTTGTTGTTCCCTCAGTGTTAGCCGCTTGATTCCTTATTAGGTTGTCGTGCTCACATGGTCAGATCCCAGCCAGGTGAGATCCGGTGCCTTGCCTGCTCTGTCCTCACACCCTTGTGATTCCAGGAAGACACATCTCCCTGCAGAGCCCTGCACTTGTAATTTCTCACCACTTACCTGAACTGAATCTGATATTCCCTAGCCTGGTCACTCACCCAGCAGTTATTTTTCCTCTTTTCAAACACCATCTTCTCCAGACTCCTCAGCTGAAGGCTTTGCTTCCTGTGTCACTGAGGAAAAGAAACCTTAGGAAGGGAATTTCCTCAAGTTCTCCCCACATACCTACCTTCCTCCCTGTACCTGAGCCTGTGCACCCTGTTTTCTGTCCTGATACAATGAATGGGCTTTCTCATTTCTCACCAGAGGCCAACCCTTTCACCTGTGCCCTGGATCCCACCACCTCTCGCCACACTCAGGAATATCACTCTGCCGGGCACGGTGGCTCACGCCTGTAATCCCAGCACTTTGGGAGGCAGAGGTGAGAGGATTGCCTGAGCCCATGGGTTCGAGACCAGCCTGGGAAACTTGGCAAGACCTCGTCTCTACAATTAAAAAAAAATTAGCCAGGTTTGGTGGCATGCACCTGTAGTTCCAGCTACTTGGAAGGCTGAGGCAGAAGGATCGCCTGAGCCCAGCAGGTTGAAGCTGCAGTGACCATGAGCGTGCTACTGCACTCCATTCTGGGCGACAAGCGTGAGACTCCAACTCACAGAAAAAAAAAAAGGAAAACCACCCTGGCCATCCTACCCACTCTTTCCTTGCTGTCATCTCTCCCGTGGGTTGATAGCTCGTCTTGAGCCGTGTACAGACATCCTGTCATTAAAACCCTCTCAGGATCCCTCTGCCTCTCCAGCATGGACCACCTGCTTTTTGTCTTTACCTGTAGAAAATCTTGAAGAAGTTGTCCGTATTCACCCGTTCTTATCCCCTCTTCTCTTCCTTTTAACTCATTCCAAATAGGCTCAAATGTCAAGCCCGCTACTATGCCAAAACTCCCCGTGCACTCCTTGGTAATACATCCAGTGGTCCATCCTCAGTCCATGTCAGTCTCAACATCGGCAGCTTCTGACACAGCTGATTACTCCCTCCTTGAAGCTCTGTCTTCCCTTGGTGTCCAGGATACCACTCTTCGGGTTTCTTTCTAACTCACTGACCATTCCTTCTCAGTTTCCTTTGCTGGGTCCCTCATTTCCCCAACCTCTTTTTGTGTGTGTATGCCAAGGCTTGAGCCTTGGACCCCTTCCATTGCCTGCCTGCATTCACAACCAGAGGATGAGCTCATCCTACGTCAAGTCTTTAAATATCATCTCGATGCTGGCAATGCACAGAGTTAGAGCTCTGGCCCAGACCCCCAATGAGTTGCTTATGTGTATAACTGCCTGTCTACTTTAAATTTCCACTCAGATATCAAACTGGCCTCTTAAATATTGCCCATTATTTTTCCCTTAAAACGTGATCCTCCCCAAATCTTTCTCCTCTTGGTTAATGGCAACTCCATTCTTCCAGCTGATCAGGCTAAAACCTCGATGGCATCCTTGACACCTCTCTTCTTCTTGAGCACCACATTCACTCCACCAGGAAATCTTGTTGGCTCTGCCAGCGTGGTTCTTTTAAGACCGAGGTCAGATTGTGTCACTCATCAGTGAAAAACTTTCTAGTGGCCCACCTCCCTCTGAGCTAAAACTAAGATCTTCACAGGGTCCTTCAAGGCTGTATGAGATCTGGCCCCCATGGACTCCATTTAGACAAGAGAAGCTTGCTAAGATGTCAAGGCATCCTATTAGAAGAATCAGTCGATCCCTTTGCAAAAGTAGAATCTTTGAAACATAGGGGATCTGGCAGTTTATAGGGCCAAGAAATAAAAAGGTTGATTCAGAATTGAGGTAACAATAGAATATGTTTCGAGAGTTTATAAGACGATTAGAAAAACATTTGAATAAGTCTCTGTTTTTAAACTAGATGAACCGTCTTAAAATTTTTAGTTTTAAAGATTCTATGGTAACTCAACAAAGGTGTGTGACTCTGGTGGTCAGACCAACAGGACAGACCTTAGGAAGCTTAGTAAGGGCTTGCAGAGGAGTAGAGTTTATATCAGGAGGCAGTGATATCAACAGTATTGAATGTGGGACTTAAAGTTCTGGTTTGAGAGTCTGGACATTAGTCTGTGGCAGTGGGGAGCCTGATGTAATATATTTTTGGAAGATTAATCTGATGATGGGTTTGTATGATGGGCTAGAGAGAGAGATGCTAGGTTAGAAGCTTCTGTAATCATCCAGGTAGACAGAGGGCTTCGTAGTAGATGTTTGGAAGACAGGAATCCAAAGATATTTTCAAGAAAGAGTCAGCAAGTTTTAGATTTGGTTATAAAAAGACACAAGATGACATTCAGGCTTCATACTTGGATGATAAAATGATTGGTCAGACTTTCTTTTATTTTTAGAAATGAGGAAGTCATACTTTCTTGGGGCTATGTTAACACTAGTTTAAGTAATTGAGTAACCTTCCGGAGACACCAGACCTAATAGGAGACTTTGAGTAAATATATTTTAGGCAGGGGGATTTCCTGGCACTTCTTATATTCAGGGTATCTACTTCCTTCTGTATATAAGTTAAGATCTGGCTTTCCTCCGCAGCCCAAAGTCCCCTTAAAAATTCCACTGTTCATGTTTATTAGTTCTTTCCTATCGCATTACAAACTTTTATCACATCAAAGATGGTGATTTTCATGTAAGTAGAATTAACTGCTTTGTCTTTATTTTTTTATATATATATATTTTATTTTTTATTTTTTTGAGTTGGAGTCTTACTCCGTCACCCAGGCTAGAGTGCAGTGGCACGCTCACAGCTACCCTGCTGGGCCTAGGTGATCCTTCCGCCTTAGCCTTCCAAGTAGCTGGAGCTCCAGGCACATGCCACCATGCCCGGCTAATTTTTTGATTTTATTGTAGAGACAACGTCTCACCAAGTTGCCCAGTCTGGTCTCGAACCCCTGGACTCAGGCAGTCCTCTTGCCTCAGCCCCCAAAGTACTGGGATTATAGGCTTGAGTCACCGCATCCTGCCACTGCTTTGTCTTTAAATGGTCTGGGTTGGCATGTGGCCTTTATTAAAGTGAATAAAAATAGATATATTTCTTTTTTAAGTGAAAAAATAATTTATTTTTAAGAAGCAAGATAAACCACAGCATTGTTCACAATAGCAAGAACCTGGAAACAACCATGCTGCCCATCAAAAGAGGACTGGATTAAAAAAATGTGGTACATATACACAATGGAATATTACGCAGCCGTAAAAAAGAACAAAATCATGAATTTCGCAGCAACCTGGATGGAACTAGAGTCTATAATACTGAGTGACCTCTCACAGAAACAAAGATCCGAGTATCACATGTTCTCACTCATATAATGGACCTTGAATATCCAATGTAATACTTTAAGAAAATGAATGACAGTAGTGGGAAACTATGGGGGGAGAGGGAGATGGAATTAACGGTAGCAACTATCTGGGGAGGGA